TGTATTGTATTCACATTATCTACTTTTAATTTGTAACCCATATTATGTGCACTTAACACAAACTGTCACTACAATATTTTTGTAATTGGAATTTATTTCCGTAAATAAATTATTATTATTATTATTATTATTATAATTATTATATTCGACTATGTCGACTGCTCTAGGTGCTGTGGCTAAGCTTTGATTTTCTTCATCTTGGACTGGTTCCTCTTCCGTGTTTGTTTTTTTGTAACATTGTAATTTTTTGTATTTTGATAAATATATAATTATAATTGCCATACAAATGATACTTGTGATTACATAAAGTACGTAGTCGTTTACCTGTTGCGTACTTTTTAGTTGGTTGATTTTGTGATCGACCTTGCGTTGTGTTTCCAGTTGTTTCTTTGAACCTGACACTGTATGTAGGTCATCCGTGTTATTTGTTTTTACATGGTAATCTTCCATCAAGTTATTGTTGTCGGTGTCGTTAATACGTTCTATAGTCGATTTTGGGTTGTAATCGATGTATTCGGATTTGTAGTCGACTTTTCCAGGTATAAGTACGTCTCTTGCGGCGTATCCTTTGCAAGTCTCGATGAGTTGCAAAATGCCTACTACCCTAGGGTGTGGCTTGTGGATTCTGTATCTTCGTCGCATGTAATGAATACTACGTCGTAATTGGTTACGTATATCCACTCGTTCTTGAACCGTTTCTTATGGAATATGGATGTTTCGATTTGTACGTGCATGTTTTGGCAAGTTGATGGGACTTTTATCGGATCCTATAGCAGTTGTACTTCACATGCTGGTCTATTTGTACGTGGGTATAAAGGATTACCTTCAGGACATAAAAGGAAGTCTCTAGCGTGTTTACAATGGGTATAGTAAAATTCGTCATACATGGCATAGTGCTCTTTAGTTTTACTTATAGATACTTATTACTAGGTTTTACATAAAGACAATCATTTCCAGTGCATACTGGCAAAGGTATTAAATTATATAAAATAAAATCATTTTGATAGATTAAAGGTAAAGTGAGTATAAACACTAAGTTGTCATTCGCATAATATATAGTAAGGTCTGAGAGCTTTACCAATTCATAAATATTTTGTATATCTAAGTCAGTGGGTAAGTCGGTGCCTCCAGGTAATGATACTTTAATGTCTTTAATATGTTCTAAAAGTTCCCGTGGAGATATTAAACTGGTATGAATAATTCCTATTTTTGTTTGTTGTATTATTTCCAATAAGGTATTGGTTTCTACTATATGCTTCATTATTAATAAATTTATAATCAGGAAATGTTTCGTTAAATAATTTTTTGTTTGTTGGTCCCTAGATACGTTACTATTTTCGTTTATTAAAAGGTCATACTACAGGTTTCGTGTTCATCGAATTTGTTTTGTAACTTAACTATTTTAATTTGTTTTTTAATTAACTTTGTTTGTGGCGCGTCATGCGTTTGTCCTATATTAAAATTAAATTTTTTAATGCATTCTAGATTACATATTCCGTATATTAATCTGGCTGCTTTTGCTAACATTTATAACGTACTTCTTTTATATACTGTGTGTTCTATAGAGTCTAATACTAGTTCTTTCTTTTTTCATAAATCGTTTACTATACTACTAGCTGTGTACATTAAATTGTTACAATTAGTATCAACGTTGTTTTTGATACTTGCACGGTTGCACATATTAATTTGGTTTTGTTCATAACCTCGTCAATATAAATGAATCTTTCTTTGTATTTAGCAAAATTAATATACGCAGTTAGGTCCCATTGAGATGTAATAAGTTTCAAAGGTCCCCGATTTTCGTAGTATAGACTGGAATGTTGTGTTTGTTCGTCGGCGTATCGAAATCTTCCCGACGTGAACGGCATAGTTAGTAGTATAAGTCTGAAAACCGGTTCAGCTTATTAGTCAGGGTAATTTAATGAATGTAAATGTATTAGATTTAATATTAACCTATTCCCGTATATATACAAAATTAAAATAATAATATGAATAATCTTATTCCCAAATAAAAATGCATAATTGAACCGATAATAAAAAAAGTATAATAATAAAATAATAAAATTACGTAACCCTTATATAATGTTTACTTTTTAGTAATTATAATAATGTAATAATAATCCGTCCCCGAAATAAAATAATTATAACTAGGAAGAATAAATTTGTATTTGTTTAACATTCAATCGCGCTTTTGATTAAATCGTGAGATTCGAATTGTAATTTACGGAATAAACAACGGGTCCACAGAACGTCTGTCCTAGGATCGTGGGCTTCGGAAAACCCGTGGGTTTTCTTACATAAGAGCTCATGAGCTTCGCTAAGTTTTAGAGCGCGTCCCTGTTTTACAAACGTTCCTATTTTAATTAAACAGATGAATTAATTTGTAATCATATCCATTAATTGTAAGTCAAAGTTTCCGTTGTTGTCTGTGTCCCACCCACGTATTGTCAATACTCGACAAAATATGTGGAGAGCGTTCAGAATTTTAATATCGGTAGAACCTTCCCACAGAATTATAGAATCATATTTGTTGAGTATTGTTTGTATGGTGGTACGAGTTAAGTTCGGGTGCGAAGTATGGTCGGAGTCGTAGATTTGTGCGAGTATAGTGAATAGCTTTTGTGGCTTTCCCTTGAAAATATTTACAAGGTGGCGCACCATAGCTTTCCATTCTCTGGTAGTTACTGGCTCGTTGGTTCTGAGTTTGAGTGCGCGTCCTTCGAATTTTGTGACTATTGGTCCATAATGACCACATACGGCGCCCGATATTAAAATTGAATTTTCTTTCTTTCCCTAATTGTGGAATTCAAAATCTACGACCGCGAACTCAGGTGGTTCACTAAAAACAAAACATATATATATATACATATGTCAGAATGAAGACGTTATTGTACAATACGTATTATGCGAAGAAAAGTTAATAGAAAAATCGAATATAATCAGGTAGTTTTCATAGTTATAAAAGAAAACGACTATTGAAATGCTAATAAAGTACATGACTTCAAAGTCGCATATAATCAAGTATATCTGTTGGTGTTGGGTTGTTTACAAAAATTCCCTTAGATATGAGCAAAGTGGTTTGCGTAGAGGTCTTAATGTTTTAGTCGTTTTAAGTCGTGTGAGAAGTGATTAATTGTACGAGTCTGAATGTTTTTTTACTTTATTTCTTAAGTTAACTCTAGTTTGTTTTTTTAGATGATTGCCTTCATCAACTGTACACATACTCCATTCTTTACTAATTTCAACACCTCTCTTCTTAACTGGCTTTAACGTACCAATTTCTTTGCAATATTCAAAGCCAATTTTTTGTTTTGAACAAAATAACCATGGATAATTTGATTTTTTTTCAATCCACTGATCAAAAGTCCATACCATTGATCTTCTATCTATAAACAATTTAAAATAATAATAATACATTTAATATACTGTTAACTATTAACAATTTGTCACTTTTGTTATAAAACTTAGGTATTAATGTTCTAAATACTTTTTATTTTTGAAATTATTATACAACATAAAAATTAAATATTAATTTTAACAGTTTATAAAACCATTGTTTAGTTTGAAAAATATCTAACAAAAGCGCTATAAAATACAATTTAAATCTAATTTATTTGTATAATGAAACAAATGTTTAGGTAGCTGTAGCTTATGCTGCTAATTTATTGATTATCATATAAACTTTTAACATTCCGTTATAAATATAGTAAATCAATTTCCTAAATATATAAGATAATACAAAATATAAAGTGATTTTTTTACCTATGTTACACAATTATTGGTAGATTCAGCTTCAGTATTATTTGTATTAACATCATCAGTTTGAATTATTTCAGTCTGTTTACTTGTCAGATCATTAATAATTTGTTCATTGTCACTTCTAAGGAACTGTAAATAATCATGTATAATGTAAATAATCATATTCTATACCTGCATAACGTCCAATTACAAGAATATAATAAAATTACTTACCTTGATACTATTTGGCTTTGCTTTTGCTACTTTTGAAAAGAAATCATTCATGCATCTTTTTTTACTGTTCGATGACATGTTGCCGACGTGGCGTCGTCGTAATATTAATTTAGTTTTAAATATTTGTTTTATTAAATTAAATATTTTAATATAATAAATGAGTAATGACAAGCATGTATTATACATATCTGGTACCTAGTCCCTGTCTAACTTATTATGTTTACTTAGTATTCAATGTTTATAGTTTATTAATAACTTCTGACGATAAATAAATAAGCCACGAATAATTTGTGAAGTTATGACGTTTGGACAATTTTAATTTTTCCTTTTTCTTATCATTTTATAATTAATCATAATCACGGATTATTATATCTGTAAGGTAATTGTGTCCTTACTAAAGTGGAAAATATAATAACGGTAAAAGTAATATTAAGTAAAAATACAATATATTTTATTATGTACACACACAACAAGATGTAACACGAAAAAAAATGAATAATATAAAAGTAATATATAACAGTTTTTATACATTATCACATATTTTTAAAGTCAGTGTGACCACACTATATTCCCTACATTACTCCCCTTCGAGAGACGGAGTCGGGTCTACATAATAAAGAATATTGCGGTTATGTAATATTCCATAAAAGTTATAAAACAAAAAAATAACAATTAAAATTTGAAACATATCAAAATATATAAAACTTAAAAGTTTATCCTTAATCAGTTATTCTGATAATCAAAGCTAAAAAAAAATAACATTAACAAAATAACACAATATTATATAGTTAAAAATAAAATAATAAAATTATTACTAATATCACTAATATTAGGAATATTACAATAAATTATTAATTTGAGTATCATATTTTAAAATCTACCGACTTGACCTTTTTCTTTCTATTAGTTATTTCTGCCGAGTATGAGTGGTCGTGTTGTGTTGGATTCTCATAAGGCATGAATGCGGGTTTAAGTCTGTCCACAGATATATTCTTCCCATTTCCATTCACGTCCACCTTAAAAAACTTCTACTTAAATGGGCCATCATACGGCATTTGTAATGCTTTCCTTACAGCATCATGTCTTATGAATACATGAGATGAGGACTTAAGGTCTACCGATACAAATGGTTTCATTTTAGTATTGTGTACAGCTAACACTGGTGATATTACATTAAATTTTTCCTTCAGTTGTGTTACTAATGTGGAAGGTAATATTGCTGCCTTTTCTTCAGTAAAGAAATCAACCGGTAACCGTAATACCTGCCCATACACCATTTCAGCTGGTGTTATCTCTTCTTCACCCTCTAAAGCACATCTTAATCCTAATAATATTGTAGGTAAAACGCTAATCCAGTCTGTTTTGTCATATGCCATAATGGTTTGCTTCAATGTCCTATGGAATCGCTCGCTTCCCATTTGCTTGCGGGTGATACGGTGTTGTACGCGTTCTGCTAATACCTAGAAGGTTTGTAAATGCAGTAAATAACTTGCTTTCAAATGTCCTTAATTGATCTGTTGTAATCTGCTCTGGTGCTCCATATCTAGCAATCCATCCACTCAAAAATGCTTCTGCAACGACCTCTGTAGTCATATCTGCCACGAGTCTCAATGTAGTGTACGGTACATGTGCATGTCTTGTAGTGAATGATTGTGCTGTAATAATACTAGGAAATGTTTTAATTAAGTCTGTAAAATCCTGCTCTGATGTTATATGCTTTAATAGAACATATTGAGCTACGCGATTCAATACACAGAGTAGATAAGTTAGTAATTTTATCTATTATCCTTTTGTTACAAATATCTACCATTAGATTAAAGTGGTGCAAAAAGTCTGCTCCTATTATTGCTTTAGATATTGGTGCTTTAATGAATTCCCACTTAAACACCCGCCGTAGTTTAAGATCAATAGTTACAATTTGCTTACCAAATAATAAAAATGATTAACACAATCACTGTATTATTATAATATTATTAATATTATTATACTATACAAAATTATGATTTTATTTTGTGTTGTTAATAATTAATACACATTTATAAGCAATATACATTTTAGGTTACTATTTAGTTATTTAAAGATCAAACAACCCTAAGTGGTAAAGAGTACAGTTATATAGTCATTATATTTTTACAAGAAATTATACATTGTGGATCTAAATACTGAATATTTAATCACAGAAGAAAGGAAAAAAATTATACTTACATTTTTTCCTAATCAAGCAACACTTATGTTAGGTAGGTAGTTTATTATTGTTTTATTTTTTGACTTGGTCAATTTTTACATGAATACATGGTTGCATCCAAAACCGCACACTTTTGATTTTGACCCTAAAAAGGTCGATAGCCAAAAACCGCACAGCTTATAGGTCATTGTATAACAAATTTCCCTACATTTATGGTGGGTTAAAACCGCACACTGTTTTTAGTGAAAATGGTGAAAAGATAAATTTATAAGATATGTACTAGGTATTCAATAATCAAGTATTTAGTCGTCACTCGTTATTAGTCGGTCTCGATTCAGTTAGTGTACCTACGTCTATAATTTAGTGTTAAAACGTTAATATCTTAAATTTTTATAATGGATTTTAAAATTATTGAAAGTAACAACGGGGACAAGTGATTATTTCTTAACAATTTTAAATACAGAAAATTTAAAGTCAATATTAGTGGAAATGTGGTTTGGCGGTGTTATATTAAAAATTGTACATCCACGGTTACAACATGCAGTAAATTGAAGAATATACTAAAAATAAATAACACACACAAACATGAATAGGTGGAAACTGTGAAAATTCAAATTCAAGAGGTACGTAATGTATGTAAACGCAAGGCTTGTAATGATATTCATGAAAGACCGCGAAAAATAATACGGAAAGAGGTATAGAGAATAATGAAGTAATAGGAAGCAATGACGTAAACTTAATAAGGAAGTCGATATATAATGAACGTAGAAAACTTTTACCAACTTTACCGAAAAATTTGGAGGACGCTCTAAACTTTGTTTCAAATTAATTATTTTCAGCTATTTTAACCTGCCAAAATGAAAAAATGACCTTCGTGTATAAACAAGATGAAATGATTATTGTTACGTGTAAAAAAAATATTGAATTTTTATGTTATCATTGTGATGAATACTTGGCTGACGGTACTTTTACATACAAGCCAAAGTATTTTTATCAACTGTATGCTATACAAGGATGGAGCAGAAATTATTATTTTCCTTTAGTACATTGTTTTTTACCTTCTAAAACTGAATCGTGTTACTTACAAATGTGGGTCAATATTAAATATATGTTTGGAGTTAAGACAAGTTTTAAATATAAACATTATCCATCTCGATTTTGAGATTGCTGCTCATACGGCTGTGCAAAACACATTTTCTGGAGTAACAGTTAAAGGCTGTAGATTCTACTTTGGTCAAGCTTTATGGAGGAAAATCCAATCAAACAATAACCTTCGACAATCATATAATGCTAAGCAAAATGAAACTGGTGAGCGGCTAAAAATGTTTTTTTTACAGTATTTTTACCAGTACATGAAGTCCCTGATGCATTCATTGATTTAATGTCCATATGTCCACAAGATGCATGTTCTGTATTTGGAGACTACATTCTTAACACCTACATTGAAGGACAATTCCCAATGGAAATTTGGACCCATCCAATCAATGCAAATATAACTACAAGGACTACGAATGGAGCTGAAAGATTTCACCAAGGGTTTAATTCTGAATGTTATTCTCCGAATCCATCTGTATTTATGGTTATTGATGTTTTAAGAAATATTCATATCGATACAGTGATACAGAATTCAAAATATAATCCATCCAATTGAAAAACAAAAACAAGTTAGTAAATAGGTACATTATAAATATATTTATGATTTTTAATTAAATTGTATTTATTTTTAGGAGCATTTGATTCAATTTTGGGAAGAATTTTTAGGTGACGGAGATCGTATAAAGTTTTGAAAAAACGTCGGTAGTCGGTTTCAGCCAATCAAACTTTGAAAGTTTTAAATTTTTTTTAAATTAATATTTTAAATTATTGAATATATACATTTTTAAGTTGACATTAATTAATATAAAAAGTATATACAACATTTTCAAGAACAAATAATTAGTTATACATATACATATGCGTTTTTTGTTTATCGACCTTTTCGGAGTCAAAATCATAACTGTGCGGTTTTTGGATACGACAATTTTTAAAATTGTGCAGTTTAACTTATTAAATGTGTGCGGTTTTAACCTACCAAAAGTGTGCGGTATTGTCCTGTATTTTATGTTTTTGGAGTCAACAGAATACATCACAACATAGTTGCAAATGTGCAAAAAGTGACTAAGTGAAAAAATCAATGATGTTAGAAGTATACCCTTATTACCCTTATTACCCTGATCAAAATATTGCCAGTAGAATCTTTAACAATTTTTCTCTTACGATATCTGCCGAAGTAAAATGTTTTTTCACAGATTCTCTGTAAAACACTTAACCCCTGAAAAACATTTCCCCAAGTTGTTAGTCTTTTACTAGTCACCATAAAACTAGTAATATCTTCAGTATTTTTTTACACATGCAACATAATTGGGGAATTTGAAATGAATGAAGTAACAAAAATGTAGTAGGTAACTAAGAAAATGTTTGAAATAATTTTATTATAATTATTAAGATTAATACATTTTGTTTAGTATTAACAGTTAAAACTTATATCGCTTAGTTTTGTACATCGTGTTATATTATTCTAAGACCGTTGTTTAATCTATAATACAGAGCATAGAACATATATTATATTTACTTAATACGTTGAGTGCCTCGTAGTATTTGGCGCGCCTTGCCCGAGAATCCGCGCAAAATCGGTTCCGTAATAACGGAAACTAAATGTGTAACTAAATGTTCACAAATTGTTATTTATTAAATTCGAAGACTATGTCAACGGAGTAAACATCACCCCGGTATTGCCGATATTTACGGTTTATTTTTTATATAAAAATTAATTAAAAATCGAATAACCGTGCGATCGACTTGAATCCTACCCTGTTTCATTGCAAATGTTCCTGGCTGGTATATGGCTCACAAAATTCACAGGGATGGTAGCTTAGGGTACTATACTCCGGCCCACGAGAGAGTATTACCGTCGCCCGACGAAAACTCGTCCGATTCCGCGCATTCCCCACTACTCGGCATGTGCCGACAACTGTTCGGTACCGGTCGGCAGCGCTCAACGCTATACGGTGTATAGCGGTCGCTGAAATAGTGGGGGAAATGGGGCCTCGGAACGGTCTCCGCCGTCAGTCTGCATGCGCAAAACGGTAATACTCTCTCGTGGGCCGGAGTATAGTAACAAGTTGTGTAAGTTTCAAGACGATAGGTGAGAGGGTTGATTTTATACGATTTTTCGCGTTAACTCGCGTTGTCATTCATCCTCTGTAAATTTTCTAAACGCGCGTTTACAGCTCTCATGTGAACTAGCCCTTACGGTGCTCGTAGCTGCAACATTCAACCTCGTAAATTATTAGTTAGTCAGTTATTTTTGTCAATGCCGGGATTTTCATAATTGTCAGCGAAGTGCCGCATGCTTGTATGTGGTTGTATACCTAACCGTTTCAGCACAATATATCTTTATACTCCGCACCGTGGTATCAACTGATACTGATAATAATGTTTACATTTTTATCACATTCACAGAATGTCGAATACGGACGATATAATTTTGAGGATAAAAGTCACAATGCTATTGTATTGTGTCTGACAGACGATGAATTTGTGACGGAGAAATTTGTGGACCCGTTATTGGGATTTCGGTCTCATAAAAAAAAAATACCAGAATACCCACTTCAATTAACGCGGGTTGAACGCGTAGTTATTTTCATTCCATAAAAATCTGTATGCAAGATCGATAGACAAAAATGCTATGTTTAAGTATGTTATTTCTTGTTATAAATTGTTTTGAAATATTTCAGAATATTTTCAGACTGATGTATATATATATTTTAATTGTTTTGTGTTGAATTAGATGTTTTTTGCTGTCTTTAGCTTTAAAATGAATTTCTAGACGGTCAAAAAAATTTTCCTCATAGCCAGGAGAAAACTCGGAGTTGTTAATCTTATTTGTGCCAAATATAACATATTCGACAAACTGTATTTTGCTGATTGTAAGAACCTAACCTAGTAACCTTTGATAAATATAAGTGTTAATTTGCTCCAAGTACCTTTATAAGGATGCTATTATGATTTATGTTTTAGTCTTACACGAACTACCTATAGAGAGTATATAGAGGAAATAATAGAAAATGCATTACCCCGTCCCATGATAAGTACTTATCCAAAGGTTGTAAGAAAAAAAACTAAAATTACGAAAAAAAAGTACTATTTTACTAATGTAAGTATAATTAAACAAAGAATGCATTTATCGATCTC